GGGAAGAGACCAGTATGGTTGAAAACTCTCCAGCCCCGTTGCCAGAAAGGGCAATATATGGATTTGCTCTTTTTTTAGGATCGTGGTTTGGCTTTAGTAAGTATACTGGGTACTGAATACTTCACCAAAAAGTGTTCCTTTGCTTACGAGACGAATGTAATTCAGATAAGACCATCTGAAAAAGGTCACAATCGTATTACACTACCTATTGTAAGGGTGCATGGTGGAGGACTAAGTGAGCATTACTTGCCAGACCTGTCAGTTGTTACAGAGATCTGTCATTGCCTTTTGTGATTTCCTCATGTTCTGTCTCTTTAACCTTATTATGGGGTCTGTAATAGTATTACAGAGTCAAATTATTTAAAAAATCCTCTGCATTCTCATTTTAGTAACTTTTTTACTTGAATTGCATACATTGTCACTATTCAGTAACCATTGTAGATGGTCTATATGCAACCTTCCCCACCCAAATACTGAAAAAAATCAAGTCAATCTGGTCAACAGCAATGGGAAACGATTAGAGTTATACCAGCATTTCTTTGCTGGTGTGGCAGGTGCTTTAGTATTTCACAGGACCAAGGCTTGAGAGGGTGAGAACACTTTTTCAACACAAGAAAAAGTGCTGCAAATATACTGTAGTCAAATAATAAACTAGGATCCTATGGTAAGTCTTTCTCACCCTTAGGAAATAAGTAGAAATGAAAGTAAGTTCGTTTCTGTTCCTCTCACAGGAAGCCACTGCAGTTCCATAACTTGTATCACTGGCTACTAACCTGATCCCCTCAAGTTTTTTTAAACCTTATTCTCGATTTGTTGTTAGGGAGTAAAATTTCTCAGTATTGGTTTTGTTGACATGCAAATGAATAACTTACCAAGAATCAGAAAGTATTTCCAGTAACAGCTTCTGAACAGTTCCATCCAAGCACTGGAACAATTCTACCAACTTTTCTTTCAACCAAAGGACTCATTGTGTGATCATTTTCTGCTTTAATATTTTCTGCATTCGGTGTCATTTGGCATCGTTTTACTGAGGGTTTTTTTGTTCTGCAGTTCAACATGCAAGAAATTCTCGTCTGTCTACATAGGAAATCAGAAACTGAATGTTAAAGCATAGTGATATCCTATAACCAACTACAAAACTTTGCCCCCATTTTGGGCAGGTTTTGTGTTTGAGAGGCATATTCTACAATGTTTTGGTAGGGTTAGTTTGGTTTAAATAATGTAAAAATTATTGTCTCAGCAAAATATTGTCTCAGCATGTATCAGTAGGGAAGTAGTGCTCTAAAACAGGAAGGAAGTCTAAAACAGTATCGGTTGTACTATTATGACTTTTTAACTCTTTTTTGCAGTGTTGTATCTTATCTGGGCATACGTTCCCGAGACTTGGCTGTTCTCATTGGGACTAACATACTGGCCTCAAAAGTAAGTTCAACCAGTTAAACTCTTTAGGCTGAATATGTGTGAGTATAGGACACCCTTAATTATTTTCAAATAACAAAACTTTTTTTGAATAGTGGTCTTGTATTTAATCCAGTTTTTCCTGATGATAAAGGACTGTAATCTTTGTGAAGCATTATTTTATGTAGATAAGTAGCTATGATGAAAATTTTTCATTGTGTAATGAAAGAAATAGTTTTTGAATGTTTCATGATAAATTTGACATTTTGTTTCCAGGAAGTTTGTCAATGAAAAGATAGTAAACTTTAGACTGTAATTAAAAAATGAAAAACCTTCTATCAGGAATCTATTTGACGATTTATACCAAACTAGCTACAGTCACTGTGCAGTCAGTAATCTTCCTGGGAGGGACCAGGGTCCATGTTCAGAGGTGCTGTTTCTTTTCCTCCTGGCTAAGTTTGTGCTGTATACAACCACTACATTAAAACTGTTATATCATTAGGCATTTGTTATTATGATATGTAAATTTGAAAATCTTTTTCCTCAGGTACTGGGCAGTTGCTTTGCCAGCGTACCTACTAGTTGCTGTAGGAATTGGTTACATATTACTTTTTGGTATTAACATGATGAGTACAGCTCCACTTAACTCCACGCATACCATTACAGGTAATTTTATTGGTGTTTTTTTTAAGATTTTGATACTTAACTGTTAATTTCTGTAAGTATGTATATGTAACCATATATAATATAAATCAAATTTTAAGCCTTTAAATATTTTGATCTAGAAAAGGAGTTCTTAGAAGTACTGAAGTACTAAGGTGAAAAGAGAGCCACAAGCCTGACTCTTCCCTCTTTGCCATCTCATGGCAGTGGTTTCCGACTAGTAGAGTGTACTTTGTTAGTAAAACAGACCACATTAGAGGAACAGGGGTTAGGCATATGAAGCTCTTCCAGGCATGTGCCGTGCATTACAAACCAGTGAAGAGTGTCATGGGAAGAAGGGCATGAGTACCTACCTGGCAGTCGTGGAAGTGGGAAGGCACACAGAGTCCAGGTGGTGCAAAGGAGGATGTTGCGGTATTGAGACCTGATCAGATATGTTAGTGATTCCCTGTCTAAAAAAGCTGTTCTTCAGTTTTTCTCTCAACTTTTGCGTAGCCTTTACTCCTGCCAAGGAGACATGTTCTAGGCATTCACGATACTCTCCAGGCAGCTGCATCTTCCTTCACATGAGGAATTCCACTGCTATTTGCAGGTGGCCATTTTTGTTAGAAAAAATGCAGACTGTAAAATTTGGCAAGAAAGTTACCTATTGCTATGACTGCTGAAGTTGCATCGTTTTAACAAACTATGTACGTAGTATTACAGTACTCTGAAGTTCAAATGCATTACTCCAGCGCTTCTGTCAAGAACTGCCATTTAGTCATCCCTGTGTTCCTGGCCACTCATTCACACTCTTATGTCACCCTCTCCTTTGGCATCAACCCAAGAGTTTGTGTGGCTGTATGGCAGGTAGGATGGGGGACCTACTCTGAAAACCAACTATATTTGAAAATTTTCTTTTTCAGAGGGAGCAGTTCCATAATTGTGTTCAAAGTGCACCTGTAAAAATGTTTATGCTGTTATAGGAATGGGTGCTGCGTGGTGATGCGAACAAGCAGCCAAGATAAAGGGAGGGTGGACAGCATCTCTCAGCAGAAATCCTAGCACAAAGTGTTCAAACTACAGACTGAACTATTCACTGTGGGGTTTTTTGTTTGTTTGTTTGTTCTTTTTATCTTTGGATAGTTACAGTTTAACGTCACACAGCGTCTTAAACCGAGCAAAGTCCCAGACAGTGATTTCAGCAAAAAAAAATTTCTTCAGGGGCTCTGATAATACATGTTGATGTAGAGCGTTTCTGGTGACCCTCTCATTACACCTCAGCAAGATTTCAGTATCACTTGTAGTAGCTAAGTTTATAGAGTATTACATTATATAACATTTCTTGAAAGAAAAAAATCTTTAATATGTGAAATGTTCTCATTGTCTCCTGTAGATAACTATGCAAAAAAGCAGCAACAGAAGAAATTTCAAGAAGAAGCGATTCCAGCGTTGAGGGATATTCCCATCAGCGAAGTAAACAGAATGTTTTTCCTTCCTGAAAAAGGAATCTGCAATAGCAGATAGTTGTTACTAAGATCTGTTTGAATAAAGGATTAGTAGAAGTGTTACATAAGAAAAATCAAAACCTCTCCAAGCTTAATAAAAACCTCTTTGTGCCTGTAGAACAAAGCTTTTTTTTTTCTGAATTTCTAACTAAATTTATGTTAACACATTTCATTGAGATGGCTTGATTTTGTTATTATGCATGCGCCTTAATAACCTTCATTGGTATGAGAATTATACCACATTAATTTATCTAACCATTCTTGTGAGTTTAAAATAGCATTCTATTACTTGTAGATTTCTGCCTGTAATTTCCCTCTGAGAGTGAAAGAAATAGCTTTTGGAGGTAGCTTAATTCTATTTCCCTTTGAATTCAGGGAGAGAAAATGTGTTCCGCTAGTCAAATGCTTGAGGATCTTTTTTTTTTACAAGTTATGTTAATTTGAAGTGTTTACATTGTAAATAGACAGTTTTCATTTGTAAATATTAATAAAATGTAGCTAATTTTTACTTGTTAAAGTTAGCCGTTTTTCTGTGGTTCTATGATACTTGTCCTAAGTAAGGGCATATAGTGGTCCATTTTTCTTTACACAATTCTTTACTCAGCAAAATATGTTGATTTTTTTTTTTCCCCAAATTGGTGGCCTTATTAAAATACCAAGATTACCAGAAATAAGGAAGGTGGGTTGTGAAGATTTTCTGAAACAAGTCTTGAAATGACTTTTTTTTAATCATTCTTAAGAATACTGAAAACTAGGTTCAAGGAAAGTTCTGGGAAGACAGGAACCGACAGGTCCATCTTATTATAGTGTAGGTTATAGCACAAAGCACAGTAACTTGTTATGGCAGTGGGTCAGATGTTTCTTAAACAGTGAATTTTCTTTCATGTATGCATTATTGAGCAGAGACATAACTTTTATTTCCTTTCTTCCAAGATAACCCAGTTATCTTCAGTAGTCAAGGTTATTTAGTTTGGTTGTAAGGACCAGTGAATAGAGCCTCATTATTGTGTGTTAGGTCTATAAGCAAACTTCTGACCAGCAGAGAATTTGGTTAAAAACATCACTATTTCATTAAAAGTTAATAAGAAATTTTTGAAAATTTGTTTGAAGAATCTTATGCCAGTTCTTCAGAAATCTGTCAAAACAACCATCAGTTGCTGTGGGAAGTCTTAAGACCTGGTAACAATCAATCTGGTATGAATATGCAATTTGTAGTTTCTTGGTCCTCTACTCTTTAGTAGTTTGCTATTTTTTCCACCTGCATTTGAAGCAAAAAACCATGCTAGGTATTATGGGTAGGGGAAAAATACCTTCTTAATGAAGGAAAAAATGCTTTTTGATGTTTCACTCTGAAATAGTAGATTTTAGGTATATTGTTGTTTGGGGGCATTTCATAAGAATGAGTATTTGTACCTAAGCCTAATGACTGTAAATTAGTACAATGTTGATTTGTTTGATAGTTGTAGACTTCTTTGTGAAGTTTTGTTTTTCAGTTTGCCCCCAGTTGCTATTATTTCCCCCTCCTGACATGATTTTGCCCTTCTATTGATTTTAATTTACATGCTCAAGCACCCATACATAGGGTGAATTCAAGATTTTATGATCAACATACATGGAGATGTATTTACTCTTTTGTCAATTCTCTAATCACATTGTAGACACTGAAGTATTGACTAATCTTTTTTTGTGTGTAATTTCTACCTGAGTTCTAAGTTCCTTTTGCTTTCCGAGAAAGCAATTTCGTTTTTAATTCTAAATTGACAACAAGTGAAGGGCATGTTTCTGGTATCATTTGATGTAAGGATTAATTTAGTCCCCTGTTAAGGATACCCAAATCCCTTCAGGATAAAGAAAAGCTACTGGAAAATGCCCTGAAGCCCTGAAAGCACACAAATTAAAGGACTGTAAACCTTGGACAAAGATTGTATCAGTGATGAATCTGCCATTTCATTTAACTGCAGACCTCACAATTATGGGAAAACTAACAGAGGCACCTAAGTGAGTAGGCAAACTGGGGCCATTTGTTTAAGTAAAACTTGCAGGCATGAAACTCAATCTTTGCTTTTCTGTCACTACTGCGTAGCGGTGCTTCAAAGACACTAGTGACCTTTTCTTCAACTTAGGAGTAATGTTTGACACTTCAGAAATTGCCTCTGTGGTCAGAATAAAACCAGGTAACACAGTGTACGTGGGGTAATAAATACATTGTAGGGAACTGCACTTGTTTGGGATCCATCCTTTCACGGTCTTGCCTATGACTGTGATTAAGGAAAAGATATGCAACTCCGCCAGCAAAGAGAGGAGAGATTCTGCCTTTTGTAAATATACAGCATGCTTACAGCTGTAGTTATTTAGTGGGATTTATATAGATTTTGCCTTAGATATTATTCAGAAGAAAACCTGAAATGATTGAACTGTGTTGCTAGTAGTGCCTTCTTTACAAAACATACCTGTTCAAAGACTGGGTATATCAGGTATCCATTCTTCTCGGAGACTGAGGAAAAACTAAATAAATAAAGGCAAAAACCTAAATTTGCCCCCATTTTCACCCTTCTGACTTATTGATGGCGTATTGTTACAGCACAACCAGTAGTAACCAGTAGAGTTAGACCAACTGCATCGTCCCTGCTGAAATAAACCAGATGGTGAAACTTCAGCCTTGCTTTTTAACGCACCTGCTAGGATTCTTCTGCAGTTTTTATCATATTGGAGACTGATGGTATTTTACACATCCTGCTTTAAACGTAATCTTGTAAGACAAGTTGCCCCCAAATGGTATTTGAATCTGTGTGTGTAAACAAGTCATAAAAAACCAACAAAGTTGCACTGTTTCAAATTAAAAGGTTGCATGCCAAAGGAAATAATATAGCTGTGGTTGCCAAATTTGTGTAAAGGTGGTAGAGTATGTCTCTCTCCTTTCTAAATTAGCTGTAAAGGGAAGGGTAGTAACAACACAGGTTATGTTCAAGTTGAGAAGTATTGAAAGAAAAAATTTGGGAATAGAGAGTCGTGCAAATGATTAAAAAGGGAGGCTATCTTGGATTTTGGTCTTTTGCATTGCACTGTATTGAATGCCATAAGCTTGGAGGCTTCAGCGCAAATACAGTATATGAAGTAGAAGAAGAGCAAATTTCTTTGTATCGACATAATTTAATTTTTATTGTAAGCATTAATAGAAGTATTTTGCCCTTGCAGGAAGCAATGCTGAGTGAAGAAACTTGTTTCAGCAGTAGTAGAATGGAGTTGTCTTTCTCCTTGAGATATGTGGGTATACTTTTACTGTTACCTAAAGCATTCTGGACAGGCCATCTTAAAAATATTTTGAGCATACTATGGAATGCTGTCAGCTTGATTTGATGATCTTTAAAATAGCCATTGTTTGTGATTGGGGCTGGAGAATGGGCTAAAAGGTGAGGTAACAAATTATATTAGTCTAGATTTTTTTATGGCAAAAGTTCAGATATTCAGACCCTCTCATATAAATCAGAAAGCTGTAATATTAAATGTTTATACTGTTGCTGCAGGCAGCATATTTGTAAAGTTAGAAATTGGCCCTAATCGGGAGGGCTCATACTGCCCGCAATGCAGGTAGTGTACCTGGAGCTTTTCTGAGAGGAGGAGCAGGGAAAATGTACGTATATTTTAGTTCCATAGTGTAGATCTCTTTGTGGTACTCTGGTTGTTCGTTGGTACACCTCTGTGCCAGATAGTCTGTAAACATTAAAAATGCAACTCTGCCACCAAGGGCAAGTGTATACAAGTGTATACAAGGCAAGATGGTGCGAAAGTAATAGTAATAGGTTTTGTGGTTCTTTTTAGTGGGCCTTAGGATGCTGTAAGTTAAATCAGGCAAAGTTAGGCCAAAAAATACCTTAATGAAGAGAAGAGATCATAACTATAGAAACAGTGAACTTCCCATCTCCGAGAAAAATTAGGTATGAGAATGGAGGTAATGGTGAGGTAGTCTAAATAGTGTTCGAGTATTCTTCCTCTTCTCCTCTGCTCCAGGTTTCTGTCCCAGGAGAGCGTAACAAATCCATCTCTTGCCTGTATCTGTAGCAATTCAGTTTTTATAGGAGTGGTAAGAAGCTATGAGATCTTTGCCCTAATATAGTGTTTCTCTAATACTTGATTCACATTCATGCCAAAGCTCCTGCCTACAGGTACAATGAGAAACTCGCCACTAAAGCTCTTTCGAAAAAGACTTTTTGAATACTTGGCTTCTTTACCAGGCAGCTTCTATGGACTTCAGTTTCATTTGAGGGTGTAAATGATAAAGTATTTCTGATTTACAAACAGAATAGTTAATAAATGATTTTGTGTAAATACATTTTGTTCCATAATGCACCTTTTCCATGGGCACTTGAGTCTGAGTGGCTAAAATATTTAATGCAAAGTCCCGCTTGCTGCTGCACTGTTAGATTTCCAGTCAGCTCTAAAACAGCTAAGATGAATGGGGGCTTTTGTATCTCTCCCTCTATTCATGAATTGAACCGTATTCTAAGGAGAAAGTTTTGGAAGCATTTAGTCTTGTTCTGCCAGTTTCCTTACAGAGAGATTGCCAAAGTAAATTTTGTTGGTGTGCTGTGCAGTTTATGTATCAACTTAATTCTCAGCCTTCTGCTAAAAGCACTTGATAGATTCATCCAGTCTGGAAAGCGTGGTTAGATGGAGTGTAATTAAATGGTAGATGTTTCACTGAATTGGGTGGATTTTGTGCCTAGAGCTCATAAAACCGCTGTTGTGAAGATTGGCTTTTCTCAGTTGTGGCAATTTAGTCCTGCTACCGTTGTTATTCTCTCAGTATAAATGTAGCTTAGAAAAAAAATTGTTCCCATGATAGTTCTTTTTCTCTTAATCCAAATTATTACTGCATCATATTTAGAAAGAACACTCACAAACTTTAACGTCATGAGAGGATATGCTTCCCTTGGATATATGTATCCTTCAACAGCTTGTCTTAAAAGAGCTAACAAGTAAAACTCAAGACAGTTTTATGAAACTACATTCATTTTGATTTTTCACATGAATACATGCAGTAGAAATGTAAAATTGTAGAGGTTGTCTAGATACTTTTCCAGCATTCATGTACCAGTGGAACATTAACTTGTCTTTTACTATCATAATTTTAGACAATGGCAATCGAAAGGTAGCATTTGCTGGAAATGTTACAGCTGTTGAACTACTAAGGGAAGTTCTGTGGAACAGAGATCCTGAGCCAACAATTTAATCTGTAAAATGCTATGTTTCTAGTCTTGTCTTTGAAGTAGCAAGCTCATGATAAACTCATTCTTTGGGGATGCTTTGTTATCTTTTTCCTGTAAATGTTGGATGATTCTAAGGTCACTGAAAACTTAACAAGGTCAAATCACAGATGGCGTAACAAACCAGAACTGAAAACTGAAAGTTAACTGCAGTTGAACAACAGAGATGCTATATTACTTCACTTTTAGTCTTCTCTTAATTATTAACAAACTGGTAAGGGATCGCAATGCACATTTTATTTAAGTGTGCAAATAAGGGTATGTTGACATTATAACATGAAAAGACAGTAATTTGACCAAAAAAAATGCTGGCCTGATGGGAAAAGGATAATATAGTTTTGGCTTCCTCTAGGGACTGTAGGTAAATAGCACACTAATATTACCTTAATTTGAAAATGGAATTTGACAATACAGGGGAAACCAAATGGAATGTGTAGCAGAGACTGAGAAATTAGTCAGTTTAGGCCAATACAATGTTGTCAGACCTCAGCAGATGTGCAAGATTTTTTATTTTGATATTTCTAACAGCCTTTGCTAAGACTGTCATCCATTATCCGATTCTGTTTTTCTAATAACAGTATCTATTCTACTGTCTTAAAAAACACAGTTCTCTTAAGATACTTTTTTCTGTTTCAGAGGTGTAGATTTGTAACAGCACTTGCTTACGTCATTAAATCTACATCTGAAGCATCCAGGATGTAGCCCACTTAGGAACATTAAAATGTCTGTTGCATGCGAGACCAAAGATAGGTATAGCTAATATCCTGCCTCTGACACTGGCTAATAGTGCCTGCTGCAGTAGTAAGAGCAAAGATTAGGGCAAGAAGCTAGTAATATTTCCCCAGAATGCTTCCCCAGCCTGCAACAGTGTGAAACTTCTGAGCCAGATGTTGTATCTTGGTATTTTTCTCATGAAAACCTTTCATTTACTTTTTGTAAGTAGGTAAAGTCTTAGTTTAAACAACATCACAGCATAATCACAAGTTGGATTAAGTGCTTCCTTTTGTTTTAAACTTGCTGCTCACTATTTTCATTTGATGTTCAATCATTCTCCACCATTTCCAAGCCACTCAAGATGTTGAAGACTAAGTTTTTATACTCAGTCATGTCTTCCAGGCTGAAAAGTTCTGATCTGTTTTGGTTTTTGTGTAATCGATATACTTGATCATCCTTTCCCCCCCCCTTTATTGCATTCATGTCAAGTATGAATATAATTTTCTAGGATACAGCAGACTTACGGCTCGCATTCTGGGTAGTCGATCTGCATTTATTCAGCGGCCACTTGTCTGGGATTTCCAAACCTCCAGCATTTGTCTAAAACTGCTCCTCTTTTCTGCCTGGGAATATTTTTAATGGAGCTACTGTCCCACTTGGTTTGCTGTAGGTCTGGAAATTCTGGACAAGTTCAAAATGTTCAGATTCTGCCTGGACATGTTACCAGGAAACTTGGAATAAGATGCCCCATCCAGTATTGATGAGGTAGTTCTGTTAGTATGTATGGGCACTGTCTACACTATGTCTGTTCTCTCGTGTTGTTTTTTTCACTGGTTACCCCATCTGAAGCTGCTTCTACTGACCAAAGGTTCTCTACCAACACTCCTGAAAAATAGTACAACTGAAACCAATGCTTTCCATTTCTCAAAATATTCAGCAGGCTTCACCAACCAAAAATTGACTTAGAACCTGGCGGTGTTCCAGCATGCTGCTGGCGCTTGTCCAGAAGGCTTTTTCGCAGATCTCAGTGAGCCACTTGCTACTGCAGACTGGTTGACCACCAGCTGGTGAGAGTACAGGGCGGGATAACAAAGCTCTGCACAAGTGGAGTGAGTGCCTGGAAGATGATGTGTTGATGCTGAAGATGGGGTATTAATTCTAGACACAGATCTTCAAAAGCTCTGTCTTTCTGAAAACATAATAACTTCTACTGGTCATCCAAGCTGCAGTTACTGTATTTTCAGATAGAGCTTTTGAAAATTTCTGGCTGGAGTTAATAACCAATCCTCAGCGTCAACACATCGTCCCACCTGTTGACGCTAATCCCTCCCACTCAAAACCTCTCCTTCATGCAGGAAGATGAGTCTCAGTTGCAACTAAAGCTGGCCTCCATTTATGTCATGTGGTCCTGCGGATACTAGTTCCTCATTGCTACGCTGCAACAACAGTAACACCAGCTCTTGCTGGGCATCTGTGTCCGCAAGCGTGCACTGGTCTCATCTGATGCTTTTCTAAAGAGTAACCACAGCCCACTGCTGGGGTGTCTGCAGGGCAGGCGGAGAAGCTGTAAAGGAGGAAGTAACAGGCAACATGGTCTCAATAGAAAGGTAAGGATTAGCAAGGAAGAACCTACAGAGCGTTTCTTTTACATAATGGATCCTTAAATGGTGACGATATCTGTGTGAGGCAAATGGCTGTGCGTGTTAGGGAGCACCATGCTGTGTGGGGATTGTGTGGTAACTACCTTATTGATAGGGGATGGAGATGGTTCCCTCAACACATCCCTCCAGATTCCAGCAATCCTCAATGAAGGCCTGAGCAATTCAGCAGTAACCAGGTTAGTTTGTGTCAGAGCACAGATTAAAATGGCAGCAGGGATGCACACAGAGGTGTCTTAAAAGGTGAGAAAAAGCCCTGCTCAGGACTCAAGGTGAGGGCAGAACTCCAAATGTTGGGAGTGAACGCATCTGAGCATTGAAGGAGACTAGAGCTTCTTGCAAGGAAGAAGTTGAGGCTTAATGTACAATAATTAGACCATTGTAAGGAATATGTCATCGCTGGCCTGTTAAGTGATCTTGGATGCTTTTCTGTTTGTGCTACAGACTGAATGATGATGAAGCTGGAGCATAAATAATTTTAGGATATCTTGTGGGAGAAGTGAAAGACCTTCAAAATGTCTGTATTTTAGTTCCGTATGTTGGGAAGTGAAGATGTGGAGATGATGAATGAGTGAAATGTAAAAGCTGAATTTTCATGTGTCACACCAGGGTTTACAATTTCAACTAGTTCTTGTAATTCCGTATATTATAGGATGCTGTCTTCTTGGGTAAATTTAATTAATAGATCCACTTTTTAGTTTTGAAATGGAGAATTTTAAAAAATCCTCCATTCTAATATGTTCATTCTTTTGGAATCCTAATTTGCTAGGCTTACAATTTATAACACTATTGCTTTGTTTGACAGTATATTGTACTAAGAGGAAGGTCTGACACACACTTTAAGTGGCTCTTAGAACTGTCTGACCTTACCTACACTACTAACAATAGTGTAGAGAAGGCCAAGAATCTTGGATTCTGCCTTTGCTTTGTCTCTGGGGAAACTATGGCAGTTTTGGTTAGAGATAAGATACCTGAAGCATAATAATTCTGAAACATAGTGGGGTCAAAAAGCTAATCCTTGAGCTAATTAAAAAATGCTGTCATAGAAAGACAAGTACTGGCAAACTCTCTGAGCAGACACAATTTATGAAAACAAAAGGTTAAGCACAACAGATTATACCAATTCTCTGAATGAAATAAACTGTACTGAAAAAGCAGTTTTTGCTGGTGGAATAACAGTGTTGGAATAAATGTGTCTACATTGTACATAACATAAAGATGCTTATGAAAATTAGTAACTTAAGTCTTCCTGAACATTGATTTAAAAGAAGTATCAAGGTAGTAAGATACACATCCAAACCCCACTAGATAAGAATCAGCAGTAGGTCAGTTATATTAAAATCATAGATTCAAGCGCATTAAGCTGTAGAAATAAGATTTGAATATTGTGGTGAAGACAAAAAGGTAGCACATAATGCATGTTTTAATGTGTCATTAAATTAAATCATAGTTTTTAATCAAGGTTGGCTTTTTTCCTGACTGACAAAAAGGCACTTTTCTGATTTCAGGGGGGAAATCTGATAATAACAGAATGACAGGACCCCAAAAAATATCACGACTGTCATTTAGAACTTGTCTTGATGGGGTTATACTGGAAATGGATTAGGTCAATTCAGCATACAGCATTTATATCAGAATAAACATGCCCCATGGAGCCGATAAGCAATAGTCTTTGTATTTTAAATAATTTCTTGCTTGAATTCAAACATTGTGTTTCAAAGCCTGTGGGTTATTTTGGGGCTGTACATTATATTATTTTGCCTCATAATCAATCCTATTTTCATCTTATCAGAACTGCAATGTAAAAAATAATGAGTAACTAAGTACAGTGCTCTTAATGTTCTTAATCCATGTTACTTAAACCAACATGATTTAAACTTTATAATCTTTTGTTCAGCTTCAGGGTTTTATTTAAAATTCTCTCAATACACAAAAGGATTTCCTCTTAGTTTCCAGTTGCATTGACTCATTCTTCTTGGTAAGATGGTTATAAATAGTTTTCTTATGAGCTTTGATGTATTTCTTTGTTTGGTCAGATGTTTGTCCATACGTTTCTGACAGTTCTTTTTTTATCTCTTGATTTTTTAATTTTTATTTTGTGTTTGTCAAGGTTGACCACTGTTCGTTATTAGGCTGAACTGATTTCTTCTCCATCTTCCTCAGAGTCGGCGTCATCATTGTAGAAGTGAATTGTAGCTTGCACTGGAAAACTCGCCAGAACCTTCTCTCCGATGTTATTAAGAAACTTTCGGGATTTGGACTTGGGCAAATAAAGCCTAATGAGAAAACATATTTTAAGAGAAAAAGTAAAACTATGTGACACTTTCCCAGCTAAGCTAGCTTGAGTATTAAAACCTATTTTTATCTTTCTTTGGAGAGAGAAAAATCCTAGGGTTCCTTGTCTTTTAAAATAAAAATTGCTGACTAAAAGGTACTGTTGATTTTAAGTTACCTCAGTTGTTTTGGGCATATTGTGTATTGGATTTATCTAAGGTCGCACTCTGATAAAGTGTTGCAAGGGCAATGATGCATGCTTGAGATGGTTTGGTTTGCTTTGGTTTTTAGCACAGTTCAGAATGGAAGTGTCCTGTGCGACTGGGGGAAATTTGAGGAATGTTCTGGGATTCCGGAATTCAGATTAAGACACCAGGTTAAGATTGGGGTGGGTTGCCTGTTGCACAGAGGTTGATCTTAGTGAGTTTTGTGTCTCTAGGTGGAGGAGGAGGTGTACACTGAGAGGGATTTATTTCAAAATTCACATTGTTTTGTATTGAAATCACAAATGTCTTAATTTACATTTCAGGTTTTCACCAGCTTTCTCACTAAAGCAAAACTTATGTGGTCTGTATACATATGTATGTGTTTTTGTGTGCGTATGTATGTACATCTCTTCCTCTTTGTTCCACTTTGGCCAGTTTTCAATTAAATTTGACAGTGATAAGAATTTAAGCTTCTACAACTTTTATAAAAACAAGTGCTTGTAAAAAAGAGGGATATTCCATTAATTTTCCTCCTCTAAACAGAAGTCCAAATCAGGAGTTTCTACATCATTAAGCCTTAAAGGATCCAAATGCTGGTGAAAAAACTTATAAATCCCCCAAGCATAGGAAAAGCTTTATCTGGAGTTCAACTTTCATTCAACAGCAAATTTAGGCAAGTTTGACACAGATCTGTAACAAGTAACATTCCATTAGCAGCTGTTCATGTTAATTATTTGGGCTTTGTGGGCTTGCTATCATATTAATAAATATAAATATAAATTAGCTGAGGCAGAAGAACATTGTTTCTTTTAAGATTACTTTTTTCTTATTTTTGTTATTAGCATATTGTTTCAGATTCTGTTCAGCCTGGGCATCTCTCCTTGTGGACAGATAAAAATCTATGGAGTCTGGTGAGTAGTTAAACTGCATTATTAAGAAGAGATACTCCAGAGACAAACTCATACTTCTCCCAATAAGGAATATGTTTGTCTTGGAAGGTGTCACTTTTTCTGTATCAAGTGATAGGATTTAACTCACCTCACTGGATGTTGAAACCCCAGGGCTCCTTTTGATCTAAAATTTATTAGTTGACCATCCAGTTCTGACTGTAAAGAGATGTATTTATTATTTAGAATAGGCTAAAAATGAAGATTTCACTTTTTTCTTCTACAGGTAACTGTAAAATTCTACAGTAATGTTGCTTTGTTTGCTCTGCTGCATGTTGTTTTACTCTAAGTGTACTTCAGAGAATGTATGTGCCCACAGTCTGCCAATAGTTGCACATTTAATACAGCATTTGAACTTGTATATTTTAGGAGCCATAAAGTCATGAAGTTGTACATTTTACTTAAGTTCTTATGGAATATCCATAGCGACTGGTGAGCTAATAACACCACCAAATGGAAGTTCAGTGATTGGAAGAAAAAAGGATTTTCAATCAGTTTAAAGGATTGGGACGTTAGGGTTTTATAAAAGACCTCTTTAACTACACTAACCAGTAGTTTGGAGTTGGAATATTCAAGTCGGCAAGTTAATTGTAATCCAAGATCACACAAGCACGTTAAGACTCCAAACAGTAAAATCAAGAGACAACTGGCATCTCAAATTTCTATGCAAACAACAATAAAAAAAGCAAGCATTTTTGATACAACAGAGTAGGTAGCAAAAATATATTTTAAATATCAAAATTAAATTTAGCACAGAATAAATTCCTTCAAATTAAGGTGACAATAAAAACCAATATTTTGCAAATGTTAAAGTAACTAAATCCTACTAGGATTATAAACCTGGAACGTAAACCTGAAAGCATCTCCCAAAGTCACTGAGCCCTATTACTTCATCTTGTGGGCATGTATTCTCTTCCATATCTTAAAACAAGAAGACTTCTTTTTTCCTCCTATTGCTATAAACTTGATGGTACATAAAATAGGAAGATTTAGCTTTGCTATACTAGAACTTCTAGTGAACAAGCAGCTAGAAATGGCCCACTCTGCTACAAACAAAGATGACTTTTGCCACTGTCAGAGCAGTTCATCTGTCTTTCTGAGGAAGTAGGTTTCAGCATGGATATTTTGGTGGGCCCCAAAAAGCCCTTGGGCTACGGACTGAGCAAAGGGTCCTACAGAATTCTCTCTGTTCCTTTTACGTTGGCTGATTTCTCTTGTACCCACCTGTTTGTCTTGTAGCCAAAATGGTTTGTCTTCAGGCTGTTAGGGTTTTGTTGAGGTTTTTTTGTGTTTAATCAGGAAACTCATTCACTTTGCTTCCACAGTACCTAGTAAAATGGACTCCTGATCTGGCTGAACATTGTAGATGTGATCATAATATCTATGTTAAATACCACAGTTATTTTCCTCCTTTCATATTTACATTAAAACTAAAATAGTCTTTTTTATCTTTGTTGACCTGTATTTTCTACTGTCTTCTTTTTGGAATACATATTGTTTTTTAATAATTATATATGTAATAATATGTATTGATTAAACACATTATATGCTATTTCTTTTCAGACTATAATACAGCATTTCTGAAAAGCAATTCTGATAAAAGCCAATTAATTCAAAATCTAACTCAGTTGTTTGTATACAGCAGAAAATGTTCAGTGTTACTTTGTATTATGTTGTAGATATGGCAATAGTAACTTTAAATTACTTTTCATGGCTTTTCTTCAGGCATAAATAACAACATATTTGAATTTAGATAGTAAGAAAAGTGTTACTTCTTATATAAGGGAAAGAATATTATGTATAGGTAACTATAGGGTATATTGTTACACATGTTCTTGGCAACAGAGGTAAAATTACTAGTTTAAATTTTTTTACCAGTACTTTTATTTTGTAGTGCTTTGCTCTTCATCTTTCAATTTCCCAGGTTAGATTCTCATATGTATATTCCTAAACTTTTTTTTTTTAATTACACAGAGGATATTGAAATGTCTATTTGCTTCACTCTCCAGCGTTTGGAGTGTCTACCAATCTGTAAAGCATTGGCATTTTTATGTATACATTGCAGAAAATAAAAGTAGCCAGCATGCAACTAACTACCAAAAACATTGTGCTCAATCCATATTGGAAGGCCTTCTGCTAGAAACCTTAGTAACTTTGCTGAAGAAGATACCTCTTGCCTTCCACAGCTGTGGGATGTAGGTATGCATTAGTGAACACCTCTTCCCGCCTATGCACCACACAAAGTATCCAAGCATCTTTCCTCAGTGGTCGTGACCCTGTTAAAGAGCTTATGAAAGGGCTCCTAAAGCCCTCCTTCAGCCCTCGTTAGGTCCCAAGCTACAGAGGCATCTAGGATGCTGAAGCAGTGTGGGTGGGCCATAAGGTATGGATGAGAAGGATCTGAGAAGCGTCTGGCAGGAAGGAGAAATGTTAAAAAATTGAAACCGACTGTTTCAGGTATATTTGGCTTGAAACAATGCCAGGCTGTTAGCATGAATGTGAAAACTTCATATATGGTTTGTTTTTCTCACACAAGTGGGAAGAAGCCCAAGTATGAATTAGAACTTTTGAGCTGATTGAATAAAATTTTCTACAAAAACATAACGTCAGTAATAAATCACAACTTTCTGATTTCAGAAACCTTAGTTTCTTGAAATCATCACTGTAAGCATGTACTCTCATGAAAGTAAGACTCCTCTCATCCTTAGCAAATTTACAGGTGCCTCTGGCAAAGCTTGGAACACTGCTGGGAAAGATGTTCTTCCGCAGGCTTACCCAAGGCGCCTGCCGGGAGGAGTGCAGCACTCCCGCAGATCTGTACAGTTACAACCTCCATCTTCAGCAGACAAAAAGTACGAGGTAAAAAGGTGTTGTATGTGTTAGAATATAGTAGAAATTGTGAGTCTTTAAAGACTTGCACTAAGGAGAGTCGTTGTCTTAACCTGCTGAGCCTTTGGCAAAAAGTTGGAGATGTAACTGTGGATCGGATGCTGCAAAAATTTATGCAAGGTGCTTAAAACTAAGCATGGGAGTAGCACTGTTTCAATAAATGTTTTAAAGTTCGCAGCGTTGGGACCTATGTTGAATGTGCTTCAATCTCTCTTTATTTTTGTTCTTTGAGCCTAACAAATCTTCCTACATAAGTAAGTAAAACTAATAATCATGGTGCCTTTCCAAGGCACTTGGCAGTAAGAGCTACTTTAAAATCCAATTTTCTGTTGATTTCCTGGCTGGTTTAGCTATAGCAACATCCCTCCCAAAAAAAAAACAACAATAGAATTGTGCACCTGAAAGTATGTTCTTTAAATTTCATCTTAAAGTCATTTTCACTCAAACTCCCCCTATACACAAAATATCACATACAGACTAGGCCTGGAAACTTCAAACTGAGGATATTTTTATTTTTATAATTAAGCAAATAAAAACCGCTGTTAAATTTGAGTAAACAGTGCTTTCTGCAGCTCTTTAAGAACTGATAATGGTTCTATATCTGATAAAAAATTAGAGATACTCTTAACCATTATGATGTACAGAACACTGTAATTTGAACCATATTTTCTAACACTGAAGAAGTGCATGAAAGAACAAATGAATAGAAGACCAAGCCTCACTTCCTGTGTTCAAATAGTTTCAATTTCTGCACCTGTTTTCTATAAGGATTATTTTCTCCAGAATTTAGTCTCACCATTTGTTGATTCTCTGTCATTTCACCGTCTCTTGCTGTGAGCATCCAGGGCCTCCATAAAGCAGGGCTGCTGAAAGATTAAGATAGAATAGCGCTCCCACAGTTAATTCTTTGTGGTAGTATCTGTACAGTACAGCTCCTTTTGTTAGATTCTGCTGGTATCTTTTGAAATAACGTGATTTTTTTCTTTTCAACACATTTTGATTTGGTAAATCTGATTTCTATGGCAATATTAATCTGTCTTCTGTCTACGATCTGATTAAACAAACAAGACAATGGCTCGCACATTTTTAACTAAGGCGTCATTTCCCTTTAAGATTTCACAACTTAAAGTGACTGCATTGAACTCCAGATGATGATGTAATTAATACTGAAATCTTTTTATTTATGCAGCACTGCTGCAAAATAAAAAGTAACCCTCCCTCTCTGACAGTATGTCTAAAAACAGATTCCATGTCGTCATTGGGTGGCTGGTTATTTATTGAGTAAGCAACTCCAGCATTAAACTGACATGGGCAATCTGATCTAATTAGCTTAAGAGAGCGTATGCAGTGGTGGGTGCTACTTCTGCCTTTTGTTTGGTGCGGGGAACTACAATTATGGATGCTTTTTTTAACAGTACTTTCCATCTCTGCTGCTGTGTAACAGATCCATACAGTTGGGGAAATGGAAAAGTGCTTTCAGATATGAAAGGTAAATAAACTTAAAAAAGAAAAAAAAATCGGTTATCGCAACCTTAATTTTCATTTACTTCCATTTATAAGTAAGTTCTGAAATATTTGACTGAAAAGGATAAAATATTGGCAAAACAAATAAAATACCTGTTCCAAGTGAAACGTTTTCAGAAACACATTTTGCCCTTTACTTCTGAAGTTGGAAATTGTTTTTGTTGTCTATTCAACGCCAATAATGGTTACATTCAAATGCTACTTACAGTTGGAGTTTTGAAAGGAAGGCTGCTGAAAAAAGTCTCCCTGCGCCTGCCTTACCTCTCTGGGCGCTCCCTGGGCCGGGGTGGGTGCTGCTGCTGCCGCCGGGCGCCCCAGCAGCGATGAGGGATGCGACCCGCTGCGGCCTGGAGCGGGAGGCCTGCAGCTGCACCCTCCATGGCATTTGATGGTCTAAAGCCTGTGGCAGGCTGGGCGCTCGCCGGGGCCTTTCAGCCCCTCCTTTATCTTAACTCCCAAAGACTACTTACCTAAAACAAACACGGCCTCAGGTAAAAGGAGAGAAACGTCCTTAATGAGATTTCTTTTGACTCCCCCAAACAGTTAACAGATAGGGCTCTTGCGTTGGCAGGCTTTTCCTGGGGAAAGCACTGCTAGGGAAACAGAGGCTTTTTGTTAAGTTTGGTTAGCAAATCACAAGGAAAATAATCAGCGCCCTTTATCTTTCTGTTGCTGTTTCACAAACTCCTATTTGCTCTGTATGAAATATACGATGTAAGTACTCTTTCTGCATGTCTTGGGAAAACTCATCAACATCCTGTCCTAAAAAAGTGTAATAGGGACTCAAAGAGAATTTTAAATGTAAAATATTTTTTTGAATGACTGAAGTCTTTTCCATGTCCTAACTTTTTAAAAGAGAAAAAGGTACCAAAAATCAGTGAAGTTGGGAGGATTTAAAGACAGGCCTAGTGACTTCCTCAAGACTATAGGGATGTTCCTTTAATTTGGTTGCTATTTCATGGATGGAGAAGAAAGCTTATGCCAAGAAAGAATAAGGGTTATGAATGCCACCGGTTTGAGGAATCTTTTATTTCAAAGTATGCAATATATGCTTTAAGCCTACAAAGACTGAATAGAAACAGACTTCTTCCAAGCTTTCTTCCCACTGTTTTCATTCGTTGCGTGCATTACTCATTGCCTGTTACATTGTACAATAACAATTATTACGTGGTGGGTGACATTATCTGATTTCTATTGTTGTGGTTCATTGCTACAGTTCGCTTTGTTTCCTTTATTTCCCAACTACTGCAGAGATGTAAGAGGATTATAAGAACCTAAAGCTGAATTTTCTTTCCACTGGTGCTGTTTACACATTGACATCAAAGGAAGCCGATTCAGCTCCCAAATACAATTGGTTTCTACTGTGAACTTTCTTCCCAGAGAGAGCAAAATAATTTCGTTTACTGAACATGAAATGTCCGTTGATTATTTAGTACGAATTAGGTCCCTTCTAGTTGACTTAGCTGAAGAAACGGTCAAAACAGTCAGTTTGAGAGGACACGGAAAATCCTACGTGGAAGCCAGATCCTCCGAGGTAAGCCTTGTGGCTCTTTTTCAAGTTATGATCCAGCTGGAGGTAGCACGTGCCCAGTTGGCAAGAAGCGGCTGGACTCACAGATAAAGACCACTGGATAGATTCACTTGAGAGACACGATTTTCCCTTGTATTAGAAGACATTGTATATATACCTTTGCACATGTGGTTTTTTGTGCATTCTACTGATTTTACTTAAATTTAAATGTCTTTCTTCCAATAGGGAGGCGCTTAGGTCAGATTTGAAAGTCAGACTGATTTTCCTACATTGATGCAAGTTGTATGGTTGTGTTAGCTACGTGGGGCTCCTAAAACTGCCAAAAGAAATAGCGTAACACAGGTTCTGATGTTTTTGAAGTAATCTTCAGTAACAGCTTCCAAGATTCGATTTGTTGAGATCCAATTCTTACATTAATTTTTCCTGTTCTTTAAAACATCCCTTCTTGCTGTGACAAATAGACATGGTTTAAACTCAAAGGCCAAAGCCCTTAAATGCTGTTCTGGGAAGCACTGACAATATGCAACAGAGGACTCACCGTCTAAATCTACTCCCTCCCATGTTTAAATGCCGTGTAATATTTGTAAATTTGTAACTAAGTAAATGACACTATATCTCAAAGATGAAAATATATGCACAGTATCAAGAAAATACATGTACAGTCTAATAACTTTAAACATTTATGTATCAAAATCAATGCAATTATTAGAATGAAGAATATAGTGAATAATATTCAAATAACAAACTATATATTGAATAGCAGCATGGGTTCTGAGAAAAAATGGCAAACTTCTTAAGTAATCTAAATTGTAATTAAATATCTTGCTGAATTACAGTCTTAAATACACATATATAATTTCATCAGCTTAGTTTTATTTAGACCTAATTTAACTTGACAGTTGAAAGGGAAGTGTGCATTACACAACTGATGTCTATGGTCCTGATCTTGCTATCAGATCTGTATGTGAGGATAATTGATTTATGACTCTGGATAGAATCTGCCAACATGGATATTAGTGCAGGACCAAAGCCTAAACTACTGACGTATAGCTCTCCAGAAGATGAAAACTTACCATAAAATATATCTGTTGATAAAGCACTGCAAGACCAAATTTATTACAAAACTATTGAAAATACAATTTTGTTAATGAAGCTATAATGTAATCTAATATAATTACATGTAACACTGTAGAAAAAATGTAAGTTGATATTACATTGTTGTACTAATTAATCGAAGCACACAACATTAACTGGTATTTTCATGGAAATCATTAGCTAAAATCAGGTTGCAGATCTGTGGAAAATGGTTTATTCCAGTAAAATACAAGTAGCTGTAATAGTGTATGATCTAAAAAAAAAAAAGGCAGCAGTTAGTCCAGTCATAGCTGTCCAATTTTAAGAACAATATTACTTTTTGCAGTATACTTAATTTTAATACAAGGTGCTGTATTTGGTATAGAACACTTCACAGAATCAGAAAACGCTGATTTTGTTACAGATGCTCATCCATTTTTCCCAGAAGGCAGGAGTATTTTTCAGACTTCTGATACTACCTGAGAATAACTTTGACAGATTTGATTCCTACCGAGAGATGAGACATAGGGTAATTATTTTGTGTTAATTGCAAGAGGTTCTTTATCTCTGTGGGAAACCTGTTTTACTCAGTTTTCTCATGAAAGCACTTGTGTGTTTGCAAGAATAAAGTGTGTCCAATATAAATTGGTATAGTAGAGGGAACAGGATAGCTCTACAGCATTTATAGTTTTGAATAATATCTGGTATTAAATAACATGACGTAGGCATTTGTAGCCACTAATAGCATGCCAAGCTTCTCAAAGAGAAATTGTTGGAAAAGCTTTTAGGGAACGGAGGGAGGAGGAAACCGAGCCATTCACAAAGCACAGCAAGGCCAGTCTCATAATATTCCTTTAAAGTCAGAAAGAGACACTCATCTATGCTGAGGTGACATGGTGGAGTTGGCTCCCTGTTCTGAGTGGCCTCCTTTGGGAGCCTTACCGCTTGGACTGTTTGAAGCGCTAAGGGAGATTTACCCCCCCACTAGACTGAAGCTGGCCTTTCTCTCCCATCGAGGGGGTGGATTCTCCAAGCTTGCGGACAGAAATTTGAAATTTAGCCTATTCACTTTCTTCAGGGTTTTTCAAATTCTCTTTAAACAATTTCATGTCTCTGTGTGTGTGTGTTCAGCATCTTGCAACATCTTTCTGTAATCTTTTCTCTATGACAAAAACCCAAGTGTTCTGGGAAGTCTGAGGGCTAATATTACTCACTGTTTCTTTCCAAGGCTTCCTTCCGCCCTTCTATAAGGAAGAACTGATTGACATAGTTATTTTAGAATACCTATTTTAGTAAATTTCCTGGTGCATACAAGGCCTTGGCTTCACAATAATAAAAAAAGAATGTTTCCCAATCTAAAATTCTTAACCTTTTAACCAGAGATTCTCACGATTAAGTCTAAGCTATACTATAATAGAAACTAGAAAACCTACAGCAACTTTATGGCTTCAAATTATTCTAATTGAAAATGTGCCAACATATGTAGAAACTTGTCTTAAAATGGTGACTCTTTTTGCCTGTATATTGTTCTGCTTTAGATTCCCTTGCATCATGAAGTCTTGATTCAGTTTTCTCATTTAGTCATAAACATTTCCAGGGTAAGGGAATCTTAAAACCAAAAAGGATCATAATATTATAACATGTAGTGGCATTCGATGCCACTACAGGATTAAGCAAAGCATGTTCCTCATGGTGCAAAGGTTATATAAACAGTTGTGTTTTGTGGTGTGCTCTGAAGGTCAGCAACGCCTGTGCTGTTGAACTACTACAGAGAAAGTGAATTCCAAAGCTGAGAGCTTTCTTTTGAGGTTGTATACTTTGCTTGTTTTCTTTCTTTTGATGTGCCTGGGTAAGCATTTTGACTTCCTGCATAAGATAAAGTCACACAAAGGAACAGTGTATAATGCCAAGTTTGGACCACCGGAAACTTTGTTCCTCTCTCTTTAGATTATGTACAGGATATAGCAGTAGCACAAGGCTGGTATTTCTTAAGTCTGAGATGAAGAAGGAGAATTATTTAAATTATTTGACCCTCCAACTGAAACTGTCACCTGTTTCTGCCATGCACTGTGGAAATCAAAATTATGTCAGTGATTCCTACCATTTTGGATAAGCTTCTGCTGTGGGTGCAGATTTAAAGAAGTAGAAATGTCTGTCATATTACTGGTGGTGTTTTCTTCATATTGATGCCCGCTCCAAAATCTGCAGGGCCAATTTGTTCCTTGTTTATCTACAATGCCAATGTATTGTTGATGGAGACCCATTTAGGAAATTGTTCTTTTAGAGTACCTATTTTAGTAAATTTCCAAGCGCATACAAGGCCTTGAATTCAGAATAATAAAAAAGAATGTCGCTTCACGCCCTGTTCAGGAAATGATTATCACGTATCTATCAGCTACAACTGTTTAATGTTGGCATCAGCTTCTTTCTTCTAGCCTTCTTGCATTTTTCCTCTTGCCTTTTTTTTCATTCTCTTTTCACTCACCCACTAAATACCTGCTAGGATCAGACTGATATACATGTTCTTTTCACAGAGCTCAATGCTGTGACTACCTTCCATATAAAATATAGAAATTATTAAATAAATTTCATGCATAGATGTACCAGAGGAGTAAAGGATACCTTGTTACCTCTGTTGCATCTTCTGTAGTGGCAAGTTGTGCTTGCAGCACACATGGCACATGCAAATGCTAGTTTTATTCCCCAACAGGTTGTTCTTCACTCTGGCTTCAGTGACCAGCCCCACGGAGCCCTGACTTCATCTTTCTTGTTTGG